GGCTGTAAACAGGAGGATCAGTATGAGTCTGAGCTGTGTAGTGAGACCCTGTACAAAACACATAAAATAGAAAAAGGGCAGGGGAGTGCAGGAAATCTGTCCACACACTAAAGACCAAAGAATCCAGCTGAGGGCCTGGGTCCCATGGCAGTGTCCTGTACGAGTTCAGCCAAAGGCCTAGAGCCCATAACGGTACCCCCCATGAGTCCAGCTGGAGGCCTAGAGCCCATGACAATTTCTCATGCAGGCTTGTTTCCTGGATTTGCCCTGGGAAGGCCCAAAGGTCAGTGGTGGAAACTGGAACGTGTATACCAGCGAGATGAAGGATTGTTGTAGCAGACAAGGGATCAGTACTGAAGCCAGGAAGCAATGCTCAAAATAAGAACGAGGGCTACCCTGAGAAGTACCACAGGCATCCTAAGCGACAGTATATCTTAAACTCTGCCAGTGATGAGAACAATCAAGCTACAGCAGCCCCACGAAAACCAACAGCTTCCAGCAGCTTCACTAACAGCCTCTCTTCTTTAGTTCTGCCCCATGCTGCTGGCAGAGTCCTCAGGTGTGCTTCTCACACCCAGAACCATACTGGTTCAGTTCAGCTGGGTGTTACAAGTTGACTACCAGTTGGATACACCACAGATCCTGTGATTGGAGACAGTTTCTACTGGATATACCAACACCAAAAGAACCAACAGTATACATTGTTCAAGAATTTTAAAACTTGTTTGGGTAATTTCATCCTTTTATCTGTAACTCTTCCATACCACAGTTTGCGCTGATGTAGTTATCTAGAGTGTGGTAAATGCAGGAAAAGAGAGACAAAGATAAATGGATGGGATTATGTCAGTGGGAAGAGAAAGAGGTAAGAGAAATGTCATTAGGTAAAAAGTATAAGGTCAGCTGGTGTGATGTCTGGTGTCTCTAGACAGAGCACTGAGGAGGCTGAGCCAAGAGGATTGCCGCGAGAGCTCAAGTCGAGCATAGGCTACACAGTTTAAGGCCAACATGATCTACATAGCAAGACCCTGTTTCAAAAACAAAATAAAAAATAGGTCATACTCTGTTGGAATTATTTCTGTAGCTTTAATAAAGGGTTAGTATTGAGGTTTGAAAGTGTGTTGGTATAGGAGGTATGCCGATAAATGGAAATACAGAGTTTGAGGAGTGGTATAAGATTATCAGAACCTTTTAATATATTTGTAGGTAGGTTTTTTTTTTTTTCTTCAATCTTCTAAGCCCAGTTTTTGAAGGATTATCCTCACATGACCTTGAGTGGTAATGTTTAATTTGTAGCACTAGTTGGTTCTTATTCTCTAATGCATTTATGCAGGCTTCTGTTATATTTATGCCATTAGATAAGTGGAGAAGAAGAGGGAGAAGGTACAGAGGTGAGATAGAGAGGAGAAAAAGAATAGGGAGAAGTAAAAAATTAGAAGAGAAGGCTGGGTGTGGTGGTATACAACTGTAATCCCATTACTTGGGAGTGAGGTAGGAGTTTTTTTTTTTTTTTTTTTTGAGACAGGATTTCACTATGCATTTCTTTTTTTTGTCCGCTGAGGCATTTTATTTGTATGTTTTACATCCTTAGAAAAAGAATCTCAGGATTTTTCCTCCTGTGTGTTTTTGTTGTGCTTCTTCATGATCCATGATGCCAGCTGAGGTTGCCAATAAGGTGAAGCCAAACTGACGAAATGGGAGCAGGTTATTCTGCCATTTTTCCAGGTCTTTCAGCTGTACATCAAACCTGGGGCTGAGCACGCCACAGTTGTTTAAGCTGCCTGTGAGGTTGACAACAATTTTTCTAGCCCTGTGATCATCAGTGATTTCAAATTCACCAGTGTAACCATGCTTCATCATCACAGAAGCTGGACAATTGACTTTAGAGAACGGTCTAATGAGGACCTGGCGTTTGCCTCTTTTTTCAGCATTGTAAATGCTCTTGAGAGCATTAGTCAGGACATTCATGCTCACCATTATGGTGGCATGGAAAGATGGCAGAAAGAGCTCACTATATAGTTTGGGTTGGCCCTGTGCTCACTTTTGTAGCTCCCAAGCTGGTCTCAAACTCATAGTGATCTGCCTGGCTCAATCTCCTGAGTGCTGGGATTATGTGTGCACCCATGCCTGGTTCCAGCACCTCACAGTGGGCACCCGTATCCAGGGCCTTGATGGCGTGCCCAGGCACACGGGGGCTGAGACCATATGGCATGTGGGGCTGGGGATTGAACTTGGGTCCTTGTGCTTGCCATATAGGTGTTTATGCCTCTGAGCTATTGTCATGAGTTTGAGGCCAGCCTCAATTACATACCAAGATGCTGTCTCAAAACAAAACAAACAAAAAGAGAAAGGACAGGGGCTAATTGAGAGCAGGTAAAAGGGGAAAACCTTGAAGAATAAAGTATCGTAATCAAACAATACCAATAAAGAAGCAAGAACTAGAAGAAGGAGAAGTTAAAAATTAACAAAGAAAACAAAAAACAATCTAGGTGACCCAGATCAAATGAAGAAGCAAGGAAACAACTAAAAATAGAAATAAAAATAAAAACCTTCAGAGAGTTGTTATACCAGTAACCCAGAGCATCCACACAGCTCCCTTTACACTGCAGTCACAGTCTGTGGGCCAGTCAGTTTACCTGTGTGTTTCTTATCCAAAGCTATGAGGGCTGTTGCTCTCACCACCATCTGCAGGCTTCCATGGGTCCAATTTCCTTAATCTGTTGGGGGTGGAGCTAACCACTGTAAATTTCTTCATGTCTTCCCTCCCCAGGCTTTTTTTCCCACCCCCAGTATTCTGCCAGTGGTCACTGGCCCAGGCGACATTTACCATCTCTGTCCACTGACATCTGCCTGTCTCAGCCCTACCTACAAAACCTAGTGCTGCCCCTTTGCCAATGTAGGGTGGTGGTAGGCAGGACCTTCTACCTTCTCTGACCTTTCCAGTGTTTGGAGAAACAATAAGAAAGTGTCAGGCTGGGAAGACAGCTCAGCTGTCTAAGTGCCTGCCTGGCAAGCGCAAGAACCTGGATTTGATCCCCAGTACCACATGACATGCCACTGTGCCAGCCACCAAAACCAGGCATGGTGGTACACGCCTGTAATCCCAGTGCTGTGGAGGCTGAGACAAGAGGATCACTACCAGTCTGATCTGCATAGTGAGACCCTATGTCAAATAATACATAAAAGATTAAAAACAGTAATAAAGTTTATATTGTTATAGCTCTGCCAAGTCACTCCCTGACCTGGGTGCTAGTGTCTCCTTTCACAGATCTCCCCCTGTACTGTTTTGCATATTTGTTGTAGGCTGAGTTTTCATGCCTTCTGCTGTCCCCAGCTAGGATGTCCTAGGTATGCCCTGTGGGAGCTTGCTGGCAATTGTTAGTAGTGTGCGGAATGTTCCCCAAATAGTACTCCCACTGTGTGTTGGAATAACAATTTCTTTTTTTCTGTGTCAAGCCTTTCTTCCCCTAGTCCCATGGTTCATTTGTGCTAGAGTGCTATTGTTCATAAATGGGTACATAGCAATTAGTTCTACCTCATTCTGGTTTCAGCTTCTTTAAATCCCTTGGTTGCACATCTCACTTACCATGCCCTGTCAGGCAGTAGTAGTAATTCAGTGGGCCAGGCCATCAGCAGAGGGCCAGATCCTGTCTCAGTCCAGTCGTCCCTCCAGGATGCCTGCTTTCAAGTGGAGACTGGGGTTCCATGATTCAGGAGTGGTCTGATTTCCTATCACAGGCATCTAAATACTGGGTTTTAGTCTGGCTAGATTTTTTTCCCCATTTATCCTCCTATATCAGACTTTATCTTTTACATCTACATCAGGATATCTGCTTTTCTTCAGTACCAATAGAGACACCCGTGCTTTCACACTGTGAGTGGTCATCTTCTCTCTTACTACTAAAAAATTTTGTTATTTTTCTTGGTTTGATTTTTTTTTTTTTTTTTTTTTTTTGTTTTTAGTACAGGATGTAGAGGGTTTCACCGTGTAGACTGGACTCATAGTTATTCTCTTGTTTTCAGCCTCCCAAGCTCTTGGATTACAGGCACACACCACAATACCCAGTCTCAATCTCTGGGTGCACCTTGGGGCTGGGGCCAGCACAGCATGCTGGGGGTCGAACCCTGGCCACTGCGCTCTGCCTAAGCAGGCACTTTAGTCTGCTGAGCTATCTGGCTGGCCCTCATGTTTTGATTTTTGATTTGTGTGGAGTTTCTTTCTGCTGCTTTTGGATTAGTTCATTAGATCAGTTTTTCAACTCTTAACTCATTTCTTTTTTTTTTTTTTTTAAATTTTTTTTTTTTGTGTGTGTGTGTGTGTGTGTGTGGCCATCTCAGCCCACCAGGGGGGGGGGCTGGCTGGCATGTGGTGCTGGGGGATTGAACCGCGGTCCTTGTGCTTTGCTAAGCTTGTTCTAAGTAGGTGCTTTAGACCACTGAGCCATCTCACCAGCCCCTTAACTCATTTCTTACTATGTGTTTGGTAATATGTCTTGGAGCCAGGAAAGATAAGTATGCTACAATCCCTGTCTTGAGACTTTCCAGATCACTAGTAGGAATAGGGGAAAGGAAAGATAGCAAAGAGTAAAGTGTTCTAATACACAGGGTCTGAATTCCAATGTATAGCATTTGGGTTTGGAAGACATTTACGCAAACTTGGCTAAAAGGTAGTACAACATGGACCTATGCCTAGGTTCCCTAATGCCTCTCAGCCTGTGTTGCTTACTTCTTAAATGGGGTAGGGCCCCTAGGTAGTGTCAGTGGGAGGAGAAACGAGGAAATGCGTGGCATCCTGTGCAGGTAAGTACTTAACAAGTGACAGCTGTGGTATAAAACATTATTAATCAGAATAATGTGAGAACTTAAAAGAGCATGAACATACACTGTAAATAGTTTATACTTTTATCAATTATATATAAGTGGATAATTGGTAATTTTATGATAAAAGAAGGCTGTATATATAAGTCTGGGTGTAAAATGGTTTATTTTATGTACTGTTTTAGGTGCCAAAGCAGCCAGATTCACAGCCTAGTTCTGATAACCTACATCGCCAAGGTGAATGTGGGAAAAAGCAAGTGTCTTACAGAACGGATATTGTTGGTGGTGTGCCCATCATTACTCCAACTCAGGTAATTCTTTTTTGAGGGTCTCATGTTGTATTGATTTTTGCATTTTCACCCCAACTAAAATATTACATCTTTTTTACATTAATAAAATAACTCAATTACGATAAAACCTATCATTACTATTCCAAAACTGTATGCTTACTATAAAAAAAATGAAATGGCATTTAGTACTTTTCTTGTTTCTTGAAGCCTTCTCCTGTGTACTCCATACTCACCCCAGAAGTGGAGATATGAGTTGTATATTGGACTTTGTAAATCACGAACATTTTCCTGGGCATCAGATAATATTCTAAGCAATTTTTCTTGACTACATAGTAGTTCTGCCCATGGATTTTTTACATAATTTTCAAGTCCAATATGGAGTTCTCTTTTCTTTTCCCCCACAAGAACAGCTTTGTCACAATATAGAGCTCTTTTTCTTGTTTTCTTCCCTTGTTCTGATGAACTCTTTTTTTTTTTTTTAATGGAACCAGGGATTGAACTCAGGCCCTTGCACTTGCCAAGCAAGTGCTTATTCTACTGAGCCATCTTCCCAGCCCCTGATGAACTTCTTACAGTTTAAAATTTATTTTCTAAAGGATAAATTCGTAGGAATAAAATTACTGAATCACAGTTTGTAAATATTTATAATTTTTTAAGACTGATCTTACAACAACCTGGACTAGGTGAGCTAAACAAAGGATTGAAATTTTTCTTAATTGTGCCACAAAAGTGTGATATGCTAAAGAGAATTAGGAAAAATACAAATTTGTAAAACAGCTTTTATGACAGAACTTCCATATGAGTTTAAGTTTCTTGTGTTTCTATTGAGAGAGTAAGTTTTTTAAGTGTTACTTATTGTTAGTGTGGGGCTTTTTTTTATGTTTTTGTCTTTTGAACTTAAAAAATTTTGATACTTTATAACGCCTTCAAATCAAATATATTTCAGGTCTTTTGTCAGTAGAGGGTTATTAAAAGAAAAAAAAATCATTCAACATTATTTAGTTATTGAGTGCTTTCTTTGTGCTTAGAAAAGGGTATATCAGTGAACAAAAATCCCTGCTCTTTTGGCAGTTTGCAGTTGTTACCAAAGTTGAATAAAAATAGAATTGTGTATGTATTTAGTGTTTCAAAAAGAAATGGTTTTAACCTCTAGTTATAGCTAAACTAAGCTACTTTTGTGTTATTATTTACATTGACATTTTGTGCTAGATTGTTTGCTTGTAATTGTATTAAGATAATGTAATAGTTTGTATTTGTAGCTAATTTGGATTCTATTTGAAATGCCATTTTTAAAAAAAATGCCATTTGCAGTCTGAGATAGCTCAGTGGGCTAAAGTGCCTGCTTAGACAAGTTTAAGCAAGCACAAGAACTGTGGTTCAATCCCTGGCACCACACACCATGCCAGCCCTTGTCTCCAGGGCAAGGTGAGCTGGGCAGAGTCTGGGCATAGTGGTGCACACTTGTAATCCCAGTGCTGGGGAGGCTGAAAATGAGTCCAAGCTGCATAGTGAGACCCTGTAACAACCAAATACATTAAAAATAAAATAAAATAAAAACAAAAATAATTAAAAATGCCAATTAATTGTTTGTTTTACTATTTTACAGTATAATTTTTAAAAAATATAAACTAGTATTTATGAGAGCATTTAGACATGTTCTATCAAGAAAATGTTAAATAAATGCTATTTGCATTATAAATTTATTCAGTAAATATTGAGTAAGTAATGAGTTTTATGTTAGCATTACATGTATCAGTACAGGGCTGGGGAGATTATTCAGTGGTCCAAGCACTTACTTACAAGCATGAGGGCCCGGGTTCAATCCCTGGTACTGCATACTATGCAGGCCACTGAAACTGGGTGTGGTTAGGCATGCCTGTAATCCCAGTGCTGGGAGGCTGAGATAGGAAGATCGCTATGAGTCTGAGCTGTTTAGTGAAACCCTGTACCAAATAAATTACAAAAAAAAAAAAAAAAAAAAGAAAGAAAAGAAGTGTTAAGTATATAGTGTTGTAACTTATCTAAATGTGGAACAGATTAAAATTCCTCAAAATATATATGACAGGATAAATCTTTGACTTATTTATGAGTTTCTATATTTAATGTCATAAATAGGAAGCCAGTGCTTTGAGGAAAATGAAATCCTGGGTATAGCTTTTAAAAAACAGTTGGGGGGGGGGGGGCTGGTGAGATGGCTCAGTGGTCTAAAGCGCCTACTTAGAACAAGCTTAGCAAAGCACAGGGACCGCAGTTCAATCCCCCAGCACCACATGCCAGCCAGCCCCGCCCCCTGGTGGGCTGAGCTGGCCACACACACATAAATAAACCCGCCCCCTGGTGGGCTGAGCTGGCCACACACACATAAAAAAAAAAAAAATAAAAAAAAAAAAAAGTTGGGGGGGGGAGTGCCTGGCCTTAGCTCAGTTCTTTTTTTTTTTTTTAATAAATATTTATTTATTTATTTATTTAGTGTGTGTGTGTGTGTGTGTGTGGCCAGCTCAGCCCACCAGGGGGCGGGGCTGGCTGGCATGTGGTGCTGGGGGATTGAACCGTGGTCCCTGTGCTTTGCTAAGCTTGTTCCAAGTAGGTGCTTTAGACCACTGAGCCATCTCGCCAGCCCCAACTTAGCTCAGTTCTTTAAGTGGCTGCTTCCACAAAGCTGTCAGCCTCAGGTTGCTGTAGTTCAATCCCCACAACACTCCAGCCAGCCAAACCACCCCTGAGGGCATTTGGAGAAAAAAAAAAATCCTTAAAAAACAGTTGGTTTTACATATAAAACTTAAAACTGCAACACTCTAGGAAAAACCATAGGAGAACATTTATTTATTTATTTATGGAACCGGCTATTGAACACAGGCTCTTGAGCTTGCCAGGCAAGCACTTATTCTACTGAGCTAACTCCTCAGCCCGATAGGAGAAAATTTTTGAGATCTATGACAAGGCAATGTTTTTAGGATTTAGTATAGTCTTTAAATCCTGGCATAGACTTGGAATAGTCAAAAGCATATTCCATAAGGGAAAAGATGAGTAAATTGAACCTGATCAAATTTTAAAATTTTGCCTTATAAAGGGAGTATGTTCCAAAAATAAAAAGCTACACACTGGGAAGAAAATAGCCTTAGCCCTTAGCCAGCAGAGTGCACAGAAGGCTTGTATCAAGACCTTACAAAGAACTCTCTAAACTCAGCAGTTCAAAAGACAAAAATCCCAGCTGTAAAGTGGGAAACATTCATGAGCAGACATTTAGAAGCACAACAGGAAACAGTATAGGGATTAGTAAAAAGATGGTTACTGTCAGTAACCAGTAAGGAAACACACTTTGAGACCACAATGAGATACCGTATTTGTCAAAATGGGTAAAATAAAAATTGATGTCACTATGAATGCTAACAAGAATGAGGAAAAATTGGATCTCTCCATTGATGTGAGAATGTTGGTGTTTTATGAAAGTAATTTTACATTTGCTAGACAACTCAGCATTTACACCCATAGCCATTTATCCTGAAGAAGTGGATGACCCAGATAACTACTCTGAAGGTAGCAATATGCAATGTATTAATTATTTTTACTCTCCTATTAATGTGTGTTTTGAAATTATTTTATCTGTCTATTTATCTATATCTTGGCATTGTGGCACATACCTGTAATCCCAGCACTTAGGAGGCTGAAATAGGAGGATTATTAGGTGTTTGAGGCCAGTCTGGGCTACACAGTGAGTTCAAGGCCTTCCTGAACTGCATGGCAATTCTCAAAAGAGCAAGAAGAAAAAATGATTATGTTTACAGAAAAATCTGTACATGAATGTTCATAGTAGCTTTATTCCTAAAAGCCAAGAGCTAGAAACAACTCACGTACTCTTTTTTTTTTTTTTTAATTTAAAGAGAAAAAACACTGAAAACAGTGATAGAGTAACTCAAACCAAGATAGAGTAACTATGGTTAGTACATTGCTTATTGTTATCTTCAAAGTAGTTGCTCAGATTACAAGACATAGGCCTAAAAAAGTGGATACAATGATATAAGGACAAGCCTTCTTTTCCGTGAACTAATAGAAATTAGTAGTATAGCTATCTTAACTATCATGTGTGTGTGTGTGTGTATATATGTGTGTGTGTATATATATATATACATACACACACACTTTTACTTATTTCCCCCGTTCAGTTTCTCTTTCCTTTTCAACAGTTCCTTCCCATTTCCCAATATCGATTGTGCATTTATGCCTTTATTTACTCTTTCAGCTTCTCACACTGGGGAGACAATTTGATGTTTACACATGTGAGACTGATCTCACATACTTGTTAGTTGGTGAGGTTGGTCAAATAAGTGTAGTTTACAGCATGAAGTATAGCAATAAAAAAGAATGAAGTATTGACTCAAGAAACAAACTGAAGGAATCTGCACAGAATTATGCTAAGAAGAACCAATCCCAAAATAATACCTTACGGGTATTGCCACTTATATTTTCAAAATATCAGAATTATAGAGAACAAATTAGTGGTTGTGCTGGATTAAGGGTAGAATCTCTGAAAGAGTAACACAAAGAAACCTTGTGGTGAACAATTCCAATCCCAGTTGTAATCCAATCTGTGCATGTGATAAAGTTACTTAGAACTGTGTTTGTGCAATACACAAATGAGTGTGTATAATACTGGTGCATTCTGAATAAGATTTGTGATATACTGGTATCAGTTACTTTGTCTTAGTAATATAGTCTATATATACTTTATATGTAGTCTTTCCTGCTGGGTAAGGGTACATAGGTCCTCCTGTGGTCCTCTGCTTTTTTTATTTTTTACTATTCATAATTTTCTTTTTTTTTTTTTTAATTTTATTTATTTGTGTGTGTGTGTGTGTGTGTGTGTGTGTGGCCAGCTCAGCCGACCAGGGGGCGGGGCTGGCTGGCATGTGGTGCTGGGGGATTGAACAGCTGTCCCTGTGCTTTTGCTTAGCTTAGCTTGTTCTAAGTAGGCGCTTTAGACCACTGAGCCATCTCACCAGCCCCATAATTTTCTTTGAATCTGTGTAATTATTTTGAAATTAAAAAATTCCTTCCCCCTAAAAGTACTAGTGCCAGGACTTTTATATAACCTCGGAAATAGAAATTTGTGCTTTGATCAATAGGAAAGTTATTATTATTATCTCAGACTGGGGGCTTGATGGTTGGCTCAGTTGTTTAAGTGCCTGCCTGGGCAAACCCAGTCAGGCTTGTGGGACTGTGGTTCGATCTCCAGCTCCACATGCCACACCATACCTGCACTTACGGAAGCCTGAGCCAGCCCCCCCCCCCAAAAAAAAAAAATCCTCAGATTAATTAGAAAACTCTTTACTGCAAAATGTATGTTCCTCCTAGACTTGAAATTGTACTACAAAGCTACTATGATAAAATCATCATGCTGGGCCAGCCAAATAGCTCAGAGGATTAAAGCTACCTGTAGGCAGGGGCAGGGCCAGGGGCCAGGGGTTCAATCCCCAGGCCTGCTGTGCCAGCCCCACCCCTGGAGTGGGATAAGATGGCAATTGAGACTGGGTGTGGTGGTACGCGTTCCTGTAACCCCAGCTCTTGGAAGGCTGTAAACAGGCAGATCACTATGAGTTTGATCTAGTAGTGAGACCCCGAACACCCTGTTTGGGGTCTACTTACATGAAATACCAAAAGAAAAAAAGGAAAAATCATCATGTTATTGGCAGAAAACCAGACCTGATGATCAGTGGAACAAAATAGAAGATGTAGATGCAACCTCAAACACATTTAGCCATCTTTTTTTTTTTTTTTTTCTTTTCCGGAACCAGGGATTGAACTCAGTCCTTTGCACTTGCCAGGGAAGCACTTATTCCACTGAGCCATCTCCCTGGCCCTTAGCCATCTTATCTTTAAAAAAATTTTTAATATAATTCTAAAAATATTATTTATTTATTTGGTACAGTGTCTCACTATGCAGCTCAGCCTTGTAGTGATCCTCCTGTCTCAGCCTCCCCAGTTTTGGGATTACAGGTTGTGCCACCATGCCCATTTTCGGTAGGTGGCACAGTGTGCCCAGAGGTCTCGGGCCGGTGTAGCATGTGGTACCAGGGATTGAACCAAAGTCCTTGTGCTTGCCAGGCAGGTTCCTAGACTGCTGAGCTATCTCCCAGCGCTGGCCACCATATCTTTGACAAAGGAACCCAACATATTTGGTGGAAAACAGATAGGTTCTTTAATAAATAGTTCTGGAAAAACTAGCTTTCCACATGCCAAGCACTAAAATTAGACCCATGTCTATCACCAGGTACTAATCTAAAGTCAAAATGGATCAAAGATCTAAATATTAATATAGAAACACTAAATTTACTGGAAGAGAAAATAGGTAGAAATCTTGAAGACATAGGAATAGACAGAGACTTCATGAACAAAACCCAGATAGCAAAGGATATATTAGAATCAACAAGTGGGATTTCACCTTATTAAAAAGGCTTTTGCACAGCAAAAGAAGTTGTCAACAGAGTGAAATGACAACCCAAAGAATGGGAAAAAGTTTCAGCCAGTCGTCCCTCATCTACAGCATATAAAGAATTGAAGGAAAAAACAAAACAAAAAACCTCCAGATTTGAAGACCCAATCAAAAAATGGCCATTTGAGATGAATAAATACTTATCAGAAGAAGAAATACAAATGACAAATACATGAAAGTGTTCAACATCACTGGGTCATTTGAGAGATGCAAATTAAAACACTGAGATTCTGTCTCACTCCAGAAAGAATGGCTTGCATCAAGAAATCAACTCATAACAAATGCTGGTGTGGCTATGGGGGAAAAGAGTCTCTTCTCCTCTGTTGATGAGTGTAGACTGGCATACGCACTGTAGAAATCAGTGTGGAGATTCCTCAGAAAACTAGGATTAGAGGCCCATTTGACCCAGCTATTCCCCTTCTTGGCATCTTCCTGGAAGAATTAAAAACATCTACAGTGACATATGCACACCATGTTTAATAGCCACACAATTTATAATAGCTAAATCCTAAAAATAGCTCAAGTGCGTATCTACTGAGGGATGGATAAAAGAAGATTTAAAAATATATATGTATATAATGGAGTACTACTCAGCCATAAGGAAGGGTAAGCTGAAGACTTTTGTAGGTAAATGGATGCAACTTGAAACCTTACTCATAAGTGAAATAAATCAGACCCACATGTTATAAACATAGTATGTTCTCATTAGTGTGCAAAAGTGAACAGGTAAATAAGATCCAAAATCTACAATAGGTAGTGTGAATTGGGAAGAAATACTTCAGAAGAAAAGACAAACTGATGGGGAAAGGAAGGAAGGGAAAAAGAAAAAACATATATACAGAAGATAGTTAAGATAGTTATATAGCTAATTTCTTTTAGTTTATTGAAAGGTTTGTGGTAATATTGTTTGGACAAGACTTCATGCCTGTTATATGCTGAATAACTACTACCAAGATAGTACTATGCAGTGCATTAATTATTATTCTCTTACTAGCCTGTTTTGAAACTTTTTTTTATTGGGAGTTTTTTTCCTCTTTAAAAATAAATCCGTGAAAAAATAAAAATAAAAATAAATCAATGTTCTGAGTACAATGAAATTGTAGGGTTTTCTTGGACGTAACATGGAAGTATGCTTTGAAGCTAAGTAAGCAAGAGAAACACTTATTTATTTTATTTCATTTTAGAAAGAAGAAGTAAATGAAGTTGGTGAAAGTACTGACAAAAATCATTTGAAAAGGTCACAAAGCCATCTTCCTTATTTTACTCCTAAACCACCTCCAGACAGTGCAGTTATCAAAGCTGGATATTGTGTGAAACAAGGAGCAGTGGTGAGTAGCTCAACAGACTGTGTAAAGTAATAAAAAATGAGGCTGCACGAGCAACTCCCAAGTTATTCAGATAGTTTGCCTTATTTCATAAAAGACTGAAAGTGAGGATTGTCAGGCTAGGACATCAGGCGAGCAGGGAGTATTCTGTATTTATAATGCAGTGCTATTATTTCCTTGGTCTGCGGCCAGCTGGGTAAGTTAACACCTGTTTACACTGACCTTCAGTTTAGATGAGCCTTTCTAACAGCTTAAATTTATTCCTGAATGTTCTTCTTTTGATTCTCTATGTAGGAATGGGTGAGGGTAAAAGCTCCTGTAAGATGGTGGCATCTTGAGGCTGAAGGAGTGAGTGCTGGGGTTGGCCTGACCTCAGTGGAAGTCTCTATGGGCTTGGGCTACTTAACCTCCCAGACTGCCAGTTTCTTTTCTAAGGAAAACCTTTTGTAATAATTATGATCTTGAGTATTGTTTGGAAAGATGTAAACAAGGAAGTTGTAGCCCATAGCACCAAACCTGTTACTGAGGAAAATCTGTTACAGGTGAGCCCAAATAATCCACAAAGCTCTGTAATGGAAGATTTCTGCAAAAACAAGTAAATTTATCAGTATTTCCAAAGAGCCAGGTGCTTTTCTAAATTTACTTTGTTTGTGTGAACTAAATCTTTAGAATTTCATGAAAAAATAATTTTTTAAAGTTTTGAAAGTAACAGGAAAAAATGTCTAGGGATACAAAGGTATTTAAAACTTTATTGTGAGTTCTGCTTGACTGCTCATCCCTTTCTAGCAACTAATCCCCTTGGTCAGATCAGGGAACGTTCTTCCAGCTCTGTTTGACCTTTTGTTGGGCTCAAGAAATGAAGGCAAGGACCAGAGTTCTCTCGTTGTACAGTTTCTATAACTGGAGTCATTTCTCACTCACTATGGTACTTGGTGCCTGTTAATTAGGGCTTTGAAGGAAACAATTCTTCCTCTTTGTTTTTCTCTTATACCCAGTGTCAGTCACGTAGAGAGATTTTAGAGCACACACTAGAAGTATATTTCATTGACAAAAATGTCACTTTACTAAGTATTTATTGCTTCACCACTATGCATAAAGTACCTGTAGAAGGATTTATGCTTTTTAAAGATGGAAAAAACTAATGTGGTATAATATTTCCTGTACTTGCTCTTTAGTTAGGGTTGGGGGGAAAGAGAGGTTTCTTTTTGTTTTTATTTTTTTACTTTTAGACTATTACAAGTATGAACTATCATAACACCATTAACAAAACCTAGAAGCCAGCCATTACAAGTTGAACCAGGGGTTCATGGCCTGGGAAGCAAACGAGAGATGAGCTTTCATTTAAACCTAGGAGAGAGCCATGAAGCTGTTGGTAATGCACATTTCTGATTGAGTGTTCATATCAGAGTGATTAATTGGTTTGACATTTGACATTCTTAGACACCAAAGCCTTATTTCTGTGTTCATTTCTGTTAGATGAAAAACTGGAAGAGAAGATATTTTCAGTTGGATGAAAACACAATAGGCTACTTCAAATCTGAACTGGTATGTTGCTACATCGAAAGAGTTGCTTTACAAATGCTTGAGAAGTGTTTCATTCTGCTGAGGTATCATTTTATGCTGTCGAGTTATGAGGATTGAGTTTACTTTGTTGTGGTGCTTTTAAATAGAAGCATTTTCTTTAAAAAGGTAGTATCTTTTTTTATTTTTATTTTTTTGTGAGACATTCTTTTTATTAATGAAGTTTAACTTATAGAAGTGACAGATGACACACAAAAATGGCCAGACAAGTATGACTATAAAACAATCCAGAGAACAAGTATAGGCACAGAGAAGGCATCTCTCCACAGAAGCACAGGTAACAGGGAGACAAAAGCAGGGCTCACCCACAGCTGCAACAGCAAAGTCACATGAGCTCTCTGAGCGCTCTTCATGAGTTCCCCTTATGTGACAAGAGGATGGCAACAAGAGCATAGTGTGTGAGATGGGGACTTCCAAATCCAGACTTGGAACAAGCCTTGATCTGAAGCCAGCACTGCAAAATCTTGGCACAAAGCAGCAGGACAGGTTGATAAAAGCAAGTCTCTTCAGAGATCTTTGAATCAGGAACGCTGGTTCCAGATTTTAAACCAATAGTTTATTTTTAATAAAAGGCTTTTATATAAAAAAACTGCTCTCAGAGCTTTTGGACCCTCATGAGCATCACTATATTTTTTACCAACTGCTTTGGTGTCTAGACATGCCCCCAGAAGCTCATGCACTCATGGGGCGGGCTTCTACATTTTGTGATTGATGCATGCGTCAAGCTGGGGTTATGGATGTGAGTGCTGCGTCCACCCTGGCGACGGAGCCTGCATGGGAGAGGCTTGTTTGCCACTCCTCCCACTTTTTTTTGTTGCTTTGCTCTCTTCCAAAGCCATGAAATTTTTGCCATTACCACAAGGTAGTATCTTCTAAGATACATTCTACCTTAAAAGATCTAAAATTATCAGTCCCTTCCCATCAACAGATTTTCTTTAGAGGGGACACTGGAGAAATTAGCATACACATCTTTATTGTCAACATTTAACCCTTTGTATGTGTCTTTTTCTCCCTGCCTTAACATCTTCTTTTCCTATTTAATTGACTTTTAAAAAAATGTTTAAAAATCTTAATTAATTTGGTACAGGGTCTTACTACACAGCTCAGACTCATAGTGCTTCTCCTGTCTCGGTCTCCCCAGTGCTGGGATTACAGGCATGCACCACTACACCTGATTTTGGTGGCCTGCATGGCATGCAGTACTGGGGATCAAACCTGAATCGTTGTGCTTGCCAGGCAGGTGCTTAGACTGTCAAGCTGTCTCCTCGGCCCCGGATTGACTCTTAATTTTTCATATAAGCTGTTTTTGTCCTGTCTGAACATAGAATAGAAAAATTGAGATTCCCTGTCTCACTTGTTTGAGTAGTAGCATCCTTATGTAAAGTGTTTGGTTACCTGAGTCCTGCAATAGGTTGTTGCATAAATTAATACAGGTCTATACCTGTTCTTGTATGAAACAGTTGAGAAGGGGAGCCAAGTACCTTATTTGAATGAAGGCACCACAGCAACACTTTAATAAGGCCCGTATCCATACTGTCCAGTCCATTGCCTACATGTGGCTTTTGAGTGCTGAAAATGTGGTTAGTACGACTGAGAACCTATTTCATTTTTAAAGTTAATATTGAGTTTATTTCATCTTCATTAAGTTAAATTTACATAAACATGCATAGCTAGTAATTACTATATTGGAATGTGTAGCTCCAGAAAATAGGGAAAGGAATATTTCAGATTTATCTCAGATGTCAACTGTCCTGAGAGGTTTTGCCAGGGCAAAACAGTAGGAAGAACCAATGTGTCGTAGGCAGAGCTCATGCAGAGTGAGAAGATTAGCTCAGCGTGGAATGGGGAAAAGAAGGCACAGTCATGGGGAGGAGACTGATGACAGAGATGGAGAATGTTTGCAAACTACATATTGATAAAGTTTTACTGTATTGGATACTTGAAGCCAAATTTCCTGATGTCAAAAAATAATGAGGAAAAGGAGAAAGTTTTGGTATTAGATTGGTGTGTTACTTAGCTTTATGTCTGTATCTGAACTAAACAATCTAAAGGAGGAAAGGTTTATTTTGCCTCACAGTTCTAGAGATTTGGCTTCATCACTTTTATGCCTGTGGTCAGTCATAAACATAGTGGAATGGAATGGTAGAGCAGAGCTGCTCACCTTGTGGCAGCTAGGAGGCAGAACAGGTGAGGGAGGTAGACACAAAGGGACCAGGAATCAGACAGCGCCCCAAGTCACTTTCCTATGAGTCACTCATTTCAGCTAGGGCTCACCTCCTCTGTCTAGAACTTGCCAATAATGCCATCAAATTATGACCTCATCTTGGGTCAATCCATTAATAAAGTTAGAACCCTCATGATCCAGTCATTTGAGAGAGAACAACTGCAACTAGGCCTTCAACGCAATGAGATTTGAGGGGGATGTTTTAGATAATCATCATAACAGTTGGAATTTGATGTGTTGATGTACTTAACATACACAGGTAGATGTAGATACAAATGTGCCTTAAGAAAAATTTTCATTTTCCACTAAGAGAAAACTGAATTTCATAGACACAAACTTCATAGATGTAGCAGATTCCAGAGCCAGGACAAGAGATATAAATGTACAATGAGCCTAGGATGTCTTGTGTTGGAAAGCAAGGACATACACAGGAATGATAGGGACAGGTGAAAAGACCCCAAAGTCACTTTGGAAACATTTATTCCTTGCCAAATTTGGGACACTTAAGAGCATCCAAGCATCAAGATAAAAAATGATGGTAATAAATTGTAACCACTTAATAAAGAAGGAATCCATGAGCCCATACAGACATAAATAACTATATTATGAATGAGTGTATGTCTGTATGTTGAAGAATGAGATATTTATATAGTTGAGGAATACCTACCTACAAAATAGATTAAGTACACAAGAAAGAGTAACATTGGAGTTAAGAATGCCTGGCAGATACTTCAATCAAATAATTCAAATGAACTTCTTCAGTGGTGGCAGGATTGCAGTCACCACCTGACAGAGTAGTGTGAGAAAAACACAGCATCAGTTCTGAGAGTCCTGCCGAAGGTACATAGTCTGAATCTAATTATGAGGAAACATCAGACACACCCAAATGAAGGATGCTATATAAAATAACTCCTTGTAGCCTTTCAAAGAGTCAAAATTATGTAAGTCAAGAAAAGAATTGGGAATTGCTCCATAGTAAAGGAGAAACAGGATCATAAACAGGTAGTTTGTGATTCTGAAATTACAATTTTTGTTCTAACAAAAGACACTGGGGTCAGCTACCTGACTTTAGAAGTTAAAATGTTTTCTTGTAGGAAATGCACAAAGGTGTTCAGTGATACTCCGGACTAGGGCAGCAACTCACCCTAAAATGGCTCAGGAAAATCAAATTTTGTGCTATATTTTCAACCTTTCCATAAATTCATGATAGTTTCAAAAATTTAAGAAGTGCTAGTTGTGGTGGTGCGTGTTTGTAATCCCAGCACCCAGAGGCTGAGGCAGGAGGATCTCTACAGTTTCAAGGCCTACCTGAGCTACAAAGGACAGGTGGAAAGACCCCAAAGTCACTTTGAAAACATTTTTCCTTCCAAATTTGGGACACATAAGAGCATCCAAAGCATGAAAATTAAAAATGATGGTAATAGATTGTAGCCACTGAATAAAATAGGAATCCATGAGACATAAGTGATTCAGTTCAGTGTAGTTCAGGACAGCCCAAACTACAAAACATGACCCTGTCTAAAAAATAAAACAAAAACAATAGAAAAAAGAAATAGGAAAATAAGGGGTAGAAAAATGAAGACATGAATTGATAGTTTATTTTAAAAGAAATTAAAATGGTTTGTAAAAATGATAATCAACATCACTCATAAATAGAGAAATATAAATTAAAACTACTGACAGGTCTTCTCATCTTCATGAATACTGTGGCTGAATGAAGAGACTCCTTTCCTGTAAAAGCTTCTATAAGTGTCCTTATGGAAGAAAAGGAGCTAGGGCTCCTTGGAGAAATAACTGATTTCAAAGCTGGGACAGGTAAGGTACAAGCTGAACCCAGAAAATCTAGCTGTGCCTAAAAATAAGTCCCTCAGCTACTATTCCAATAATAGTTTTAGGCTGGAATCTTCAATGTTTGATAAAAATTAATGGGCAAAATTATGTTGAGTAATTGAGAGTATTACATAGGATCTGAGTATTCCTCACAAAGTACTTAACTCTTACAAAAGAAAAGAGTAGTTTTATAGTAATTGGCAACATTAATGTTAAGCAACATACCAGGTAACACATGAGTAATGGACCAAACCTCTGTTGTGTACAACCTAGTGATGATGCCTTAGGAACATGCTGTGGGGCTGGTGAGATGGCTCAGTGGTCTAAAGCACCTACTTAAAACAAGCTTAGCAAAGCACAGGGACCGCGGTTCGATCCTCCAGCACCACATGCCAGCCAGCCCCGCCCCTTGGTGGGCTGAGCTGGACACACACACACACACACACACACACACACACACACAAATAAATTTT